CCTTCTGCCTTCTGCCTTCTGCCTTCTGCCTTCTGCCTTCTGCCTTCTGCCTTCTGCCTTCAGATGGCACTCTAAGATGACATTTGGCCCTTAACATGAGAAAAAAAAATGCACTCCTACTATTTGTGACCCATCTTGTCTATGGCATTCTATTATAGCAACACAAAGCCATTGTCTATCTATACGTATTTTAAATTTTTCTCAATCATGAGATGGCTGAATAAGTTATGGACAAATTTGTGAGAGAGAAATACTTTGTATATTTTATATTAAAAGAGGTCAAAGCATTTTAAATTGCACTTCTAGCTCTTTAAGGTATAAATCAGACAGAAGTGTTTAGTCTTTCCATCACATTAAGGTTATCTTTTGTTCATTATATAACCGATTTTCTTATGCAAATCAGTCTTAGAAAATGTTACACCATTTCATGTGTTTGAGGAGATGCAATTATATTTTCCGGCTAAAGGAGCCAAATAGGGAAGTAATCTTCCACAGGACATTATTTAGAGTTAGACCATGATGACTTTTCTGTTATCGAGATACGGTGAGAATGTACAAATGTGGAACCTAAAGTTAATCCCATCTCTCACCAGTTTCTAGCCCTGTCACTGGACTGACTGAAGCTCTCTGACCCCTGTTTGATTCCAGCCAGATCACTGTGACACCACGCCTTAGATAGGGCGATTTACAAACAACAGAAACATATTCCTCACAGTTACGATGGCTCCAAAGTCTAAGATCAAGGTGCTGGCAATTGGTGTGTGGTGAAGGTCTCCTCGTCATTGATGAGGGTCCATGTAGCTTGCAGATTAAGGATAAGCTTGCTCCAGTTGCCTTTACAATGGTACTAATCCTGTGCATGAGGCCAGGCTTCTCATGATCTAATCACCTTGCACAAGCCTCACCTTTTAAAACTATTGAGCATTCAATCTGGCTCCAAATCTGAGTGTTGGTGGGAACACCAGCACTCTCCTCCTAGCATCTTAAATTCATAATGTGCAAAAGGAGAGTATTACCTATTCAGTAATATTTTATAGGGAAAGAAAATATTACTCAGAAATAGTTTACCACTATGGTTAGTATGCAGCAAATACTTAACAAAAACAATAAAAACAAAAGCAAAAAGTCAGCACTAACCATTATGCTAGGCCATAATTTATTTGTTTGATTGTTTATTTATATATTTTTGGAAGCAGGATCTTTCTCCATAGCTTTGGATGTCCTGGAACTCACTTTGTGAACCAGGCTGTCCTTGAACTCACACAGATCTGCCTCCCTCTGCTTCTCCAGTACTGGGATTAAAGGCATGTCCCACCATACCTGGCTTGGGTCACAGTATATTAGCCTTAGGTCTATTGATATTTTTGTCCAAACCACTCTTTGTAAAATAGAATTTTATTGTATCAGTAAGATATTCAAAGGCCTGTTTGCTAGATTTCAGCAGCATCCCTTCAGTTTGGTAGCCAAATATATTGTCAATGTACCCAAACATTGCCATGTGCCACCTAAGAAGGAAAGCTGACAATGAGAACCTCTGCACAGTAGGTATACTCACAACTCCCAAATTGAAATAATATTAAAATTGGACTTTAGATAACTAAACTAATATACTGAGATGTTTTGTTATGCCTCCTATCAATTTCAGAACATAATGTATCTTTATCCTAGATTTTCCCTTTGTAAGTCTATATCAATATAAACCTACATAAGCATACACACACACACACACACACACACACCACAAGTATATGGTATACTTGGTTTAGGTTTTTTGTTTGTTTGTTTCTTTGTCTTGTTTTTACATTTGAAAGAATCATATATGAATAAAGTGGAAGTCATCTCTCTAGTCCTGGTAAAGAAGACAATAAAAGTTACTGTTCAGGCCGTGGGAGCATAAAATTGACCATCCATAACATGTTATAATGAAGTTCAAACTTGCTAAGGGCTTTGCTTCTCCAATCAATACCTGGACAAGATACTACAGAGCCAAGAGTACTCTTGAATATTTATTGAAAACCTGCAGCGGACCTCTCAGTGACTAAAATGTAGCCAATGTCTTACCTCAAACAACTTAGATTAGAATAGATTGCAACAGATGATGTGTCTGGCTCATGTTTAAGGAATTTATTTCTTAAAAATATTTCACAAAAATATTTCACGACTGTACAAGCCTTTGGGTTAACACAAGAGAAGTTAGCTGTGCCATGCCAGAAACACAGGATATGTGTGCCCAGTGGGAAGACGTTTGTCTCTTGCTTTTATGCATGTTGATATGCCCACTATAGGGATGATGAGGAACTTTATTCCACACACAGAAATCCAGCATATACATGATTTAATGACTCATACATATCATGCTGATGCGACTCCTCTGTGTGTTACTTTACTCTATGGTGACTTTGAACATTCACTTGGGAGAATCTTTACTCTCCGTCTACTTAATGAGCTCCTAGGTGTCCATATCAGTTTCTAAGGTTGCTCCAAGAACACAAAAAAAACAACACAAATCTATTTTCTTACACTTGAGGTTAGTTGTTAGGGAATGAATCCTTCATTTCTCTTACAGCTTATGGTTTTTGCCAGAGACCCTTGGTGTCACCCTGGCTTGTAAGTGCATCGCTGTGTCTCCCTCTGTTGTGTTCTGGCCTAGTACCAGTGTGCGCATGTATCCTCTATTAAGAACTCCAGTCACATTGGATAAATGAAACCTACTCCAGTAAGATCTCTTCTTGGCTAACTATACCTACAACAGTGCTCCTTCCAAACAAGGTACCTGAGGTTAGGAATGAATTGATTTTAGAGGAACACTATTCAACAGTGGTATATTATTTGACAACTCACCTAAATGGAAATCATGTTTGTGAGTGTGTTGTTTCAGAAATAACTAGTGTGGGTATTCTTTCATCATGATACAAATAGAGCTATACCTAAAGTTTCACATTCTTGTTTCCGTTCGTCGTATATTTTAGTCTGCTGTGACAATAAGGAACACATGGAGGGGCTTATACAAGTTTGTGAAATGATTTGTGTTGATGCAGCTTCATCTACATCCTAAGGACAAATGGAGATCAGCCCCTTTAACTTCAAGTAAAGAAGAATGAAACAAGCTTTCATCAAAACCAAGCTCCATGTGCCCTACTCTCTCACCTGTGATTGTATAACAACAAAAGAAGTGGCACAGTAGGACCTCACCCAATTTAGCCACTAAGTTTAATATTGATGATATAAGGAAAATTCACCTTCTGAGAATTGCCAGTCATCTGACAGAGCAGGCAAATGCTGAAGGAAGCCCACTCAGTAAAAGAAGCATTCCAGAGTTGGTGTCCATCCAAGCACTCTAGAGGCAGAGGCAGGCAGATCTTAGTGAGTTCAAGGCCAGGCTGGTCTACAAAGTAACTTCCAACCCAGCTAGGGCTACACAGTCAGACCTTTCTTTGTGCTCACAATATATTTTCCTATAGAGATTATGTCTGGCTATTATTATAACTAGGAGAGGACTTAATTATAAATCAACTAAAATTAATTCAAATACGAAGATAGAGCCTTTATGTATCTCTGAAATTATATTAACAAATTCAATTTTTATAATTTATTTTCCTTTTAAAATGCTTTTTGAAGAGACATTTCACAAACAAGTCATGTGAAGCAGGCACATGAAAAGAGTCTCAATTTTATCAGTCATTAAGGAAATGCCAATTAATCCATAATGACATTGCAACACATCTGCTGTACTGCTAAATTTGACAGACTAATCATGCCAGGTGTAAGGAATTGTAGGCAAATAGCACTCCCAGACACTGTTCATGAGATTTCAAAATGCTACAAGTGCTTCTGAACATAGCTTGTCAGTTAAGAGGGGATTATAGCTGCCATATTACCTGGCCAGTACATTCCTAGTGGTATTACTCCAAAGAAATGAAAGCATACACTCATGTAAGAACTTGAACATAAATTTTCATAGCAGCTGCATAGAC